AAGCCTGAACACAGCATGACTAGCCTACTCTCTCCTTTCAGTAATCTGTTTTATTTTACCAAAAACTCCCTCATACCTTTTCTTCTATTCCCAAGTGTAATATAGTAGCTGGCCACAGAAAATAATATGCCTAAGGAAATTGCCCCTTTCTATTCAAAAGTAATGAGAGAAAATATGCCAAAGATTTGATACTGTTTTTATTAAATGCACAGTTAGGTCAGTGATGTGCACTGGTGAAATTCACCAAACGTGTTGCCCTCTATGTTCCAACCCTTGAGACACAGTGATGGTTAAGGACATCTGCAGAGTTGAAGAAGCTGCCGCCATACGATGGGACATCTCCATATGCTGGTCTGAGGGACTCTCCAAGATGCTTTGAGGGGGGGCAATAAAAAAATTAGTTGCAGAACAGAGGTGCATATGGAGAATATTTCTGGCAGGTTATCCCAAAACCTGATAACAGTGTTTGCCTGTATGGAGGGAGTAGGAACTCAGAGACTAGAGATGGGAAGGAATGTGTTTTTGTTTTTTGTTTTTTGAGAAAAATCTTGTATAGTATAGTAACTTTACAATATAAGAGGTTATAAAAAGAGAAGGAAAAAGAAATGGTCTCTAGCCTCCTTTATTATTTTCCTTTGTACTTATTTATTGAACTTAATGGGAAGATTTCAAGGTACTTTAATCACCTAGTTTTACTGAATGAAATAAAAACATCAAAGTAGACATTTATATTATGGGTAATTTAAAATTTACAGTTGACTCTTGAACACAGGGATTAGGGGCACTGATCCCCCTGAGCAGACCTCCAAATTCACAGATTCCTAATCTCAGATAGAAAATACATATTATGCTGTACAATGTATGGCCTGGATTTCAAATAATTACAGCATCTCTGTGTTCCTAGTGCTCTATAAATAGCACAGTTCATTCTAAAAGTGATTACTGCCCTGTACACTATACTGTAATTACATTTCTTGGAAATAACTTCTCTAAATTTTTGATTAATTTAATGTTTGTGGTTAATTTAACATGTAGTTTGCCACTTCATAACTGCAAGCTATTTAATTTTTAAAAGTTTTAAAATAATAGGCTGGTTTTCTAGTCTTTTTTAAATTGGCAAATAATTTAGAGAAAATATATTTAAATAACGTTTCCGCAAATAATCTCTATGCAAGTTCCCAGGAGACTATATGATTTATAGTACATGCTCAGTACATTGTGGCATTGTTTGTGGTATTAATTGATACAAAGCCTTATTCAACCCCTCACCTAACCATAAAGATTATTATTATTGTTATCAAAACATAAACTCTAAGCAGAAATAGTAAGTTAATACCCAGATAATGAAGGCAAACTATGATGCATGGGAAGCATTTCTTCCTGTACATGATTTTGGGCCAGTGTAGAATAGACCTCAATTTTTTTTCATGACATCCTTATTCTACAAAATACAATGACATGTAAATGACACAAAGTGATCTATGGCAAAAATGCATCGGTTAGAATAGTTCTTGTGTACAATGTAAACTCTAGGATACAGTCAGGATTCAAAAAATAAGAACAAAGTTCTCCCCAACACTAAAATCTCTGATCTTTTTCAAAAGAGATGAGAAATCAAAACACCCATTTATATTTGTTCAAGTTCATTTCTATTTGGATCATTTAATCTAGTTTCTTAGGACTGGAAAAAAGAAAGTGAATCCTTGGAGACAATGACACTCAGCAAGAACAGGAAATGACAGTTGACTTCCTGCCAGGGGTGTGAAAACAGCAGAACTGTTCACATACACACAGGGATCCCTAGTTTTTTGTATTACAGCACATTGCAGCAGTTGGCTCAACCAGATAAAGTTAAATTATATTTTAACTAAAAGCCCAGTGCACAAATTCGTGCACGGGTGGGGTCCCTTAGCCTGGCCAGCAATCAAGGTGATTAGGGCCAGCCAATGGGGGAGGAGGTGAGGGGGTGGGAGGGACCGCAGGACGTTGGCTGTGGGAGCGCACTGACCACCAGGGGGCAGTTCCTGCATTGAGTGTCTGCTCCCTGGTGGTCAGTGTGTGTCATAGTGACCAGTCATTTGGTTGACCAGTCATAAGGCTCACTTAAGCTTTTATATATATACAGATGACTATTCTTTAAAAGGCAGGTAATTGTGATTCATTTTAGAAAAAAAAATTATTTAGTAAAAATGTTTTAAATGGAAAGCAATGTTTTAAGTAACCTTGAAAATATTGGGGTCTGAAGATTCCCTGTTCCCGGTGATTATACGTTAACCAGGAAAGTTGGTTTATTGGGATGTAGAAAACCCAAAATAATAATTGCAATAGGTATCATGTATTTGACGAATGCCCACTCTGTGCTTCATTTACAGTTTAGAGGCTTAATAGGTTTTCTTGCTTATTCCTCAAAACAACTTTATAGGGCAGGTATTATTATCTCCATGTCTCTGAGGATCAGAGAGTTTCCAAAATAACTTAGCTGACAAGTGGCAGAGTTGGCATTTAAACTCATGTGACTTTAGCTTCAATGAAGGAAAATACACACTTTCCCTCCTCTATCAACCTGGCTTGAAAAAGAAAATGTCAGACTTTACTCCCAGTTAATATACCTCTTCTGTCTCTTTTTCCTTTCTCTCCCTTTGTTTTCCCTTTTACTCTCCCTTTTCCCTTTTCTCTTCTTTGTTGTGTTTTAACTTGTATATGGGATCCTTACCATCCAAGCTGCCTGGATCAAATCATGATTTTGAAACATTGTCTTTGTGTGAACCTTTGAAGTGGAGATGCTGAGCCTGTGAATGGGGAGGCCCCACTGTCCAGGGGTTGTCCAGGGGTTACGTGCTTGCCTTGATCCTAGGAGATGGAGTGGAGCCTCCCTTCTATACTTAAAGAAAGCCTTTGGGTTAGCTGAGCTTTCTCAACAACTAAAGTTCTCAGCACAAACACACTTCTCTCCCCAGGCAGATCCATACTGCCCAGGGACAGAGCACCAAAAAAAAAAAGTATTGGCCTCTCCACAAAGACCTAGTACATGACCTAAGAAATTCTTTGTGAATTTCTTCATATATCTTCATTTTTTAAAATTACTAGAGTAATGAATGCTTTTTGCAAAAAAAATACCTAAATTATTACAGAATTATAAAAATTGAGAGTAACTCAATTCCTCTAATTCCTGTTAATGGTTTTAAAGAAATTCTAATTTGTGAATTAGTTCTTCAAATCAAGTGGTTCGGTTTTTTCCTCCTCCTGTCTGTGCTTTGGTTTAGAACAATTGTGTAGCTAGAGCACTCAGAATTAAGACGGTGGTTAGCCTTTTGCTTTTTTATCACCTCTATCTTTGTTTTGCATGTTCAAGGTATACATTTGAAAGACAGGCAGAGTAAACAAAAGGAAGGAAGGTGTCACTCCTCCAAAATATAAATGAGTTCATTAGTAAAAAAAATCTACATTGAACTGTTATTACTAATATTTTTTATTGAGTAGTTTATTGACTACAGGTTATACTGTCCTTCGTGTTGGTTTTGATTTAATTTTTGGCTAGTAAATATTGCCTAGGTAACTGTGTATATAAGTATGGATGAAGGAATTAAAATATATAAATTCTATTAAAAGTGAGAATGTTAAACTAGCTAGGATTTGCATTCTGGCATCTGTAGTTTACATCTGAGGAGGCTGAGTCTGAGGGATTTTGTCAGAGCCCTTCCTCCCTCTGTGCATACAGTCTTGTGTGTGGATTTGATCGGCATGCTCTTGCATACACGTTCTTTTTGTAGTTCTCAGCTGCTGACTTCTCTTTTTTTAAATGACCAATATTCTATAGCAACCATCATAAAGTATAGATAACCAGTATTAACATTTGGTATGTAATCTTTCAGACACCTTCCTATGTATATCTCAGATAAAGTACCTGGCCGACCCTAGTGATATGAAGTCTAACTCTGGAATTAAACTGTGTAGATTCAAATCCTGGTTCTAACATTAGCTATGTCACCTTTGTTAAGGTACATACCTTCTGGGAAGCTCCATAATTAGATCCATGAAATGGGATAATGATAGTGCTTATCTCATTGGGGAGGAGTATGAATTAATGAGAAAATATGTATAAAGTTCTTGGAATAGAATAAGCACCCAATAAATGTTAGTATTCAAGAAATGGGATCATACTTCTAATTCTGTATGATAGCTTATTTTTTGAACAATCACAAGCACATATCTGCCTCATTCTTTTTATGGTTGCATTATACTGGTAATTACATTAGGTGATCTGCTGTAATTTGTTTAGTTCCCAAACATGTGGAAAGGATAATAATGTGGGTCAAAGAGCCATTTGTTTTGCCCAATCTTGGAAAAGAGTATGGTGTTCTGACATCCAAGTCCAGAGACTCTTATGACCTTTAGTACCACACAGTTTTATCCAAACAAGAATGTAATGTTTTTTAGAGACATATGTAAGAATCTTCCTACTATCAATATTAAGCTGCTGAACATTTTAGGGTCCTCTCTACTGGGTAGACTTTTAGACTTGTAAACTTATGAAATTTTGTATTATGAGTTATCCTCATTTTCTAAAATACCATTGTTGATATCAAAGTACTTGTTTTCTGCCTTGATCAGTGAATATTGAATATTCACTGACTTTTATCTGAATATTTCCCTGACTTTAAGTTTCTGAACATTCACAAGACTGGCTTAATTAGAAAAGGGGAAAGTGCCATAATTCTGCCATAACCTGCAATAATGCAGCAGTGGGGGCCCTGGAGAACCATTATTATTCAAATGATCTTGGTTTCTTGAATAAAGTGGACGACTAAGTATACCTCTCATAGTAAGAGAGATGATTAGCAGTGGGAGACACATTTGAACTTGCTTAGAGAACTGCCTTTGTCTCTAGGAGGGCTGGCACTCAGTAATCACTAGAACAGGTCTTCCTTTCATCCCAGCCTCTTTCCTTTTTCATGCTTGCAGTGTTTGAATAGCTTTCTTTTGCCTGTTAATCCCCACAGGAATGTGGCTTTGGCTACGGGGAGGATGCTCAGTGTGTGACTTGCCGGCTGCACAGGTTCAAAGAGGACTGGGGCTTTCAGAAATGCAAGCCGTGCCTGGACTGTGCGGTGGTGAACCGCTTCCAGAAAGCAAACTGTTCTGTCACCAGTGATGCTGTCTGCGGGGATTGCTTGCCAGGGTAGGTTGGATGATTTTTTTTTCCCCTTGTAATTATTCTGTTTTTTTGAAAAACAGGCATTTTTCATTTCCTTTTCCAAATGTGAATGCACAGCGATATTAACCTGAACACATTTGTTGAGTATTCATGAGTTTGCATCTCAACAGTCACCACTAGATTCTTGGTGCCAGTGCCATGGACTGTGACAGGTGCTTGTTATAAATAAAATGAGTAAGCATACTAACAAAGGAATAATGTCACAGAATTCTAAAAAGTTCCTATAATAAAAGCCTAATATGCTAAGTGTCTGACCGTTCGACTGTTCGATCAGTCACTATGACGCTATGACACACACTGACCGCCAGGGGGCAGATGCTCTGACTGGTAGGTTAGTTTTCTGCTGGAGTCCAGCCAATGAGAACTGGGCGAGATGCGCGAGACACACCCTAGAGCCCTCCGACGGTCCCTCCCTAGCCCTGATCTTGCACTGGTGGGGTCCCTTGACCTGGCCTGCGCCCTCTCAGAATCTGGGACCCCTCGGGGGATGTTAGAGAGCCGGTTTTGGCCCAATCCCTGCAGGCCAGGCCAAGGTACCCCACTGGTGCACAAATCCATGCACTGGGCCTCTAGTATATCAATAATAAAGAAAGCATGAACAAATGGACCAAAGAATGAACAGGCAATTCACAAAAGAGGAAACACATATGTTCATCCTCATTGGGGATCCGAGAAATGCAAATCGTGACCATTCACTCATTTTAACAGATACAGTGGAACTTGGTTTCTCCAACTTAATTCTTCCTGGAAGGCTGTTAGAAAAGCAATTTGTTCAAAAACCAACTCATTCTTTTGTATTAAAAACAATGTAAATTGAATTAATCCATTCCAGACCCCCAAATGATTCCCTGTTTTAAGCTTTATATATACAGTACATGTCTAATGTGCTGTTTAATTTATAAATAAATACTCTTAAATTTCTTGAACCACATCCTCCCCATCACCCCCCGCCCCCAACTAGGAATTTCTCATCTATCAGTGCCTCTGAAATTCTATCACTAGCTCACAACTTTTTCTTTATCCAGGTCAACAACAGTTTTTACACCTATTCAATTGCCTGTGATTGCTGTTTTATGAGCACTTTCACACCCTTAGCAAGATTAGCATTCTTGATGGCCTCTTTAAGTTTTAAAATTATCAGCAACAAAAGCATTCTCTCCTTTGTTTGTTACCTGAGAGATGCTTTTGTCATTCTGAGGTATCAGCATAAAAGGGTTTTCAAGTCCAAAACTGAAGTTTTGGTCTACAACCAAGACATTTTTTCTGTGAGCAACTTAGTTGAGAACCAAATTGTTCAAGATGGGAGACGTTGGAGAACCAAGGTTTGACTGTTTTTGTCCAGCAGCCACGAGGCATTGCTTTAGATAAAGCTGTTATCAGTGGAAATAGCGTTCTTGGGGTGCCTCAGGGAAAAGAATTTTCTGAGGCCCCCATAGGAGGATGGGGTTTTGTGGAAAGCTTTATTGATGATGTAAAATTAAGGGGGTTCCCATCCAAGGTCCCATCTCTGTACCTCTCGCCATGGAAGAAGAACAAATTTTGTATTTAACGGGGCCAGAATTAAGGCAACTGCTCAGAATTTCTGTTTGATATTAAAGTCCAGTCCATCATCTGGCTACCTTAGCCTGTGTTCCCAGCTGCAGTCCATTGTGTGTGGGGCATGCGGCTGCTTAAGATCACATGGTTATGAGAGAGAACAGGAAAGTACACTAATGAGTATGGGCCACGGAGCTAGAGAGCGCAAGAGAGAAAAAGAACAAGAGAGAGGGAACTCTGAGGATTATATATTCCCAAAATGTCATGGGCTTGCTTTGGGGTCCACCCCTCTAGCCAATTGACTGTTCTCCAGGTTAGACTGACAGGCAAGTATTCCCCCCCACTTTTGTCCATCCCTTCCACCAGTAGTTCCTTGGGGTGTGTGAAGCTCCCCAGGTTCCTGGTGAAGCTGCCTAGATGACTATGCTTATAATATCTGGGCTCCCCTTTGCTCTCTTCCTATCCTTATGTAATAAAACAGAAACATGGTAATTGGCGTACGACCACTACCCTTCCCATTGGCTAATCAGGGGCGATATGCAAATTAACTGTCAGCCAAGATGGCGGCCAGCAGCCAGGCAGCTTAAACTGAACATGAGGCTTGCTTGCTTCAGTGACAGAGGACTGCAACGTTCCCTGCCTGCCTTGCCGGCCTCTGAGCCTGCAGTTTAAGAAACATTGTAACAAATATAGAAGCTAAACAAAACCCCAGAAACCAGCTTTCAGAGAGCTGGGATCTCAGAGCTGGAGTTGATACAGAGTTTCGATTAGAACCAAAACAAACCAGATACCTGCTTTCAGGAATGGAGGCCTAAGAGCTCGAGCC